GGGGGGGGGAATCCGGAGGTGCGGTAGCAGCGGCGCGGGCCCTTCCCTCTCGGCCGTTGCCGCCCCGCCCCGTTTCCCAGGAGGCCGCTGGGCGGTGTGCTGGGTTCAGCCGGCCGTCCCCGCGGTGCCACAGGCGCGTGCACAAGGGCGCGCGCAGACACACGGACGTGCACACGTGCATGTGGCGGTGGTTCTGTTTTCAGCCACTGGTAGGGAACGGGCGTACCCAGTTGCTGTGCCCGCGGAGGCCCGGGGTGGTGCCGAGGACAGGGAGCCAGGACGGGTCGCCCCAGCCTAGGAACCCCGGGGAATGTGCCGCCGCGCAAACCCCAGCCACAATGCAGAAAGACATCTCCGAGGAGACTGAAGCTGCAGAAGTGGCCTAGAACTGCGGCCCGAGGGGATTTAACACGGGTGGAGCCTAAAGGAAGGATCCAGAAAACACTGGAATGAGGGGGCACCCATGTGTCCAAGAAGCCAGCTGAAGGAAGGTCCAGCTCTCTCTACAGCTTTGCCAGGAAGCTGGGTGAACTGGGTTTGCAAACACTCTGCAGCAAGCCCCAGGAGGTGAAGGGCAGCATGTCTGAGCTCACCTTTGTAGCCTGGCCTTACCTGGTGCCTGCTTCTTTAGCATTAGGCATGCTGTAGGTATGGTTGACAACTGGTATAGGTACGTATGTGCACAGACACTTACCTACACATACATAAAAGGAACATGAATGAGGAGGAAGCCTTGCTTCTTCTAGTTCAGTAAGACTAGATATATACAATTAAAAACTGACCTGAAGGCTGGGGTATAGCTCAGGGGTAGCTTGCATGGCTTGGCTTCCATGAGGTCTTAGGTCTTCCCAGTAATCCCCCCAAATTATATCTATATTTGACCTCAGAACAACTGGAAGGAAGTCATATCCACATGGAGAAGACGCTACAGGCAAACCTGGCACAGAACCCAGAACGTTAGATTTGTTTATCAGTCATGGGTCTTGAACTCTGGGCCTGGGCACTGTCCCTGAGCTCTTCAGCTCAAGGCTAGCGCTCTACCACTTGAGCCACAGTGCTCCTTCCAGTTTTCTGGTGGTTCATTGGATATAAGAGTCTGAGGGACTTTTCTGCCCAGGCAAGCTTTGAACCCTGATCCTCAGATCTCAGCCTCCTATATAGCTAGGATTACAGGCATAAGCCACCGGTGCCCGGCCCTTAGTATATTTTCAACTACTTTTTTAATGCACCAAGTTTAATTTGTAATTCCTAAAGGAAAATATATTTATTATTCTTTTGGGAGAGTTTCATTATTCTTAATTTTTTCCCTTATGTTCCTAAATGAAACAGCTTTGAGCAGCACCATGTTTTCTTCAGCCATTTATTCACTTATATTTGCCAAGGTGCTATATGTTTTAGGTCTTTCTACAAGACCCTTAAATTTCTATGATGAGTTCAGGTTATGCTAATTATTCTGGAAATTAGTACAGAAAGTACTGAGCCATCCTTACCTTCAAGGGACTTGGGTAAAGAGGTACAGTCATGTTCCTGTGCATGCCCAGTGCTTGGAAGAGATGCAGTACTGCGAAGTTAAAAGACAGGAAGATGTAGGTGAGTGGAGAGTTGATGTTTGGGGAAGCCATGGACCCTCAGTCATGTGAGCAGTAGGCATGGTTTGCATTGTCAGATTTTGGGAGGGCAGTCTTATTTTCCCTCATCCTCTAATAGGTTGTACTTACTATTGTGAATAATCATCAGCAAGAATTAATCATTGATTCTCTCTCCACAGAACATCAGCACTGGAATGGCCATCGCTGGAATAATATTATTTGTAAGGAGTGTGCGACTGGTGAGTTGAAAATGAAATGTAATTGGGAGGGCTGGGGAGGACGGTGAAAGGGCCCCACTGGTCAAGGTGCGTCGGGTTCATAAACTACCTCGGGGAACAGTACCTCCTTTGTACAACTGAAAATAAGAATAAACCTTAAAAAAGGGAAATGAGATGTAAATAAGCTTAAGCTAATTTAATCTGTTTTTCCTTTCAAGCAGTGTGGTCATTTAGTTGTTCAGACTGTAAGTTTAAGAGAAATGGGCATCCTTTAAGATCTTGGCTAGGATTTAGATTGGGAGGACTGGCTCAAGTAGTCAAGCACCAGCTCAGCCAGGGTGAGGGCTGTGGAGCTGAGGCCTCCTTCAAGTGCTCGCGTGCAGTCAGACCTCACGGACTTGTGACATGTTGCTGGTGTGAGGCGTAACCTCCGCCTTTGTGAACCTGCAGACATCCAAGTTCACCAGCCCCATGGCCATACCTGTGGAGTTCATCCGGAAGCGCGTGAAGCTGCGGGGCCGGCTGCGGCGCGTGACGGAGCATGGCCTGGAGATCGAGCATGTCCCGGTCGCGGGGCCCCTGCTGCCCTGGAGAAGTGAGTACCCGGGACGCCCGGGGCCGCACCTTGCTGTACTGTACCCCGCACCGGGCCGGGCGGGACTGTACCCCGCACCCGGCCAGGGTGGACCACACTGCGCCGCACGCAGGCCAGGCCGGGAGGCAGGCGCAGGGACACGCTGGGCCCCAGCTCCCCTCCTCCCTTCCCTCCTTCACCTGGGCTCCACCCCATGTCTGCCCCAGGTGCTAGGGCAACCAGACAAGGCTCCCCTTGCCATAGAGCTTAGCCCTGCAAGAGACCATGGAAAAGTCCCCCCGCCCCCCAGCCCAGCCGTGCGGGAGCAGAGCCCAGGTGGGAGGCCACCCTCTCCTTGCGCATGCGTTCTCCTCACCTTCCCTGCGGTGGAAGCCTGCAGTCCTCCCCTCAAGCTTGTGCTCCCGGGATCTGGATGGATCTGGACACTGGGTATGGCCTCGGTCCCGGTTGGGCTCACACCCATGCCTTAGCCCTGCTGGGGTGTCCGTGCTTTTTGACACGTCCTGGGTTCCCAAGCAGAGCCATGCCCCTGCACCCTGCCCAGCACCCTGGGGCACCCTGCACCCGCTGCCTCTCCTGCGGTGGCCTGTATCAGGTACAGGCAGGCCCTGGGCCTCCTGCTCACCGGAGGCTCTTCCTGTCCATCTTGATCTTCACGGTCCCTGGAAAAACTCTTACCATCCGGCAGAGATTTGGCGGAATTTACCAAATGAGTTAACTTAATTTTCGCTTATTTCTGTGTAGCACAGGCTGCACTGAGACGATGTAGCCATGTTGGCGGTTAGCACCCAACCCCCTGCTCTGCCTCTGCTGGGATCACAGGAATGCATACCATGCGTGTTGGTGTAAAACTGACGGGCTAATGCACTTGTAGAATAAATATAACAGATGCAGTTAGATTGAAGTTTATACATTAGATAGTTATGTAAAAGATTCATTTTCCCATCAGTCACTGGTGGCTCTGATTACAGTGGTCTGTAATCCTAGCTATTCAGGAGGCTGAAATCCAAAAAATCGTAGCCTGAGCAGAAAAATCTGCAAAACGACATGATTAACCAGGAGAAAGATGGCTGGAGATATAGCTAAATTGGTAGAGCACCAGCCCAGCAAGCTTGAGATCCTAAATTCAAACCCCAGTATTGGCAACAAGAACAAATTCATTTCTCAAAACCTTTAGATTTCAAGATGTTTCTTCCTGGGCTGGGAAGGTGGCTCAGTGGTAGAGCACTTGCCTTGCATGCATGAGGCCTTGGGTTCAATTCCTCAGCACCACATAAGCAAAAAGAAAAAAGCCGGAAGTGGCGCTGTGGCTCAAGTAGTAGAGCACTAGCCTTGAGCTGAAGAGCTGAGGGACAGACAGAGTCCAGGCCCCACGACTGGACCCCCCCCCCAAAAAAAAAAGACGTTTCTTCCATTTATTTCCATCTCATCTTCCTCATTACAGGTGCCAGTGAGTCACTTGAACCCAGGAGTTTTGAGACCAGCCTGGTTAAAACAGTGATCAATTGGTCTATCCATCAGTCCTGTCATTAAATTCAGTTAGTCAAATTTTTTTTTTTTTTTTTGTCGGTTGTGGGGCTTGAACTCTGGGCCTGGGCGCTGTCCCTCAGCTCTTCAGCTCAAGGCAAGCGCTCTACCACTTGAGCTACAGCGCCACTTCCGGTTTTCTGGTGGTTTATTGGAGATAGGAGTCTCACGGTCTCTCCTGCCCGGGCTGGCTTTGAACCGAGATCCTCAGATCTCAGCCTCCTGAGTAGCTAGGATTACAGGTGTGAGCCACCAGCACCCGGCTCAGTTAGTCAAATTTTTATAAAGGGTTTGGGTAAAAGTTTCATATTGTATTGCCTTGAATATAAATTAATAAAATCCTATCTGCAAGTCAGTTCTGTAAAATAGCTTTCTAGGGACACCCTGTCTCAAAGATGTTGATGTAGATGAAGCTTGTTTAGGTAGGAAGAATTCCTCAGTAAGCTGTCCACAGCCTTCTCTAGTGGAAGCAGTGTCTAGCTCTGGGAGTAGTAGCCATATTTACTGACGTACATATCTGTAGAGTTAGGAGTACCTAGGTGGGAACCTGTTTGGGAGATTGCGAGGGATCATATATGGGTCCAGTCTCTTATGGAACATAATGAAATGGCACTGTTTTACATTGTATTGTTTTTTTTTTTTAAAATGTGAATACAAAAGATGGGTCTACATGTAGAAATTTTGATTATAATAAGTACTGCACATTACGGTGTTTTCCTGGGAACTGGTCAGGGGCACGTGGCTTTGGCATCATTTGCTTTTGTGGCTGCTCCTAAGATGAACCCACTCTGTCTCCTCAGAGGAGGCCCCAGGCGTGCTGCTGGTCAAGCTGGCAGGAGTCCAGCTCACCGAAGACGGGAAGGCCTGGCTGCAGAGAGAGCTACAGCCTTCTCAGCACCTCTGGTTCCAGCTCCTGGGCAAAGAGAACTCATCTCTTTTCTGCTACCTTCTAGTGAACAAGGTGAGCAGGTGGGGTGCTCTCTTTGGCCTACTTATACATGGATGGTCAGCACTTTGCATCTGGAATGGGACCCAGAAGGTTTGGTCTTTTAAAACTGTGGTAGCCCAGCACTGGTGGCTCAGGCTGTAATCCTAGCTACTCAGGAGGCTGAGATCTGAGGATCGCAGTTTGAAGCCAGCCTGGATAAGTAAGAGACTCTTAATTCCTATTAGCCACCAAAAAGCTACTAGTAGAGTTGTGGCTCATGAGACACAGGGGCGCTAACCTTGAGCAAAAAAGCTCAAGAACAGCACCCAGGTCCTGAGTTCAAGTCCCAGTACCAGTGCACGCACACACACATGTGCGCACACACACACAAAATAGTTATAAAACTGAGAAAAATATGAGAAACCCTTTATAAGCTACTGCACAGTTGCAAATTGACATATATATTTGCATATCTATATAGATAGATCTGTGTCTAGATATGGATATATTGAAAGGATCCTTCTGTTAGAAATGTTTGGCTTTTCTTTTGGGGACCAATATTACTAAATCGTAAGTAAGACGATATGGTCGAGTATTTTGACACTAATTTGACATAATTGGGTTTTGTTATTCTTGTTCAAGGGTGGATTCTTTAATGTGAATCTGAATGAAGAAATTTTGAGAAGAGGGCTAGGCAAAGCTGTTGCTGTCAAGGGGCTGGACTATAATTCTAAAACCTACTGGAAAATTCATAGAAAGTTACTTAAAGCTGAACTAACTGCCTTGAAAAAAGGAGAAGGAATCTGGAAGGAAGAATATGAAAAAGAAACTTATTTGGCAAAATTCAGAGACTCCTGGAAAGAAATATGGAAAAAAGACAGTTCTTCAAAACCCACTGGATCTGATTTCAACTTGAAAACCCAAAGTTACTATGACAAATTTAGAAGCACTTACGATACATGGAAAGATAACGTGAATAATTTCTCCTTAGTACTGAAATTCAGGGAACTAAAAAGTCGTCTGCATAGAAAAGGTTGAGGGCTCCTGGGAAAAGCACAGCCTGTAAATATATGGACATTTGATTGAGCCAAAATGGAAATTTCACCAGATGATCATAAGGTTGTAACATCAAAATTAATTTAAACACCTTACAGTTCACATAAAATGCTTTTTTGAAAATGTTAGACTACGCACTGGGTGAGGGAGCCGTGTATGTCTTGTAAATATGTCATTCTCCATCTTCAGTGGTGGGATTCAAACCTAGGGCCTCATGAATTCAAGAGGTTTCCTGTGGGGCTGCGTTTAAAGCTCTGCAGTTTTGATGTTGGAGGAAGAAAAGTTTAAGTATTGGCTGTTATGTTAGTTTTTTGGGTGGCCAGATTTATTTTTTAAGCAAATATTTGCTTTCATTTCCAGTTTTGTCTGCTTCATAATTCACAATAAAGGAACACATCCCTCATGTGTGAGTTCTGTCTTTTCTCCCAGCTGCTTTCCTCTGCTAGCAGAGTGCCCGAGCCTCCTGTGGCACCGCAGAGGGAGAAGGTGTGGACAGGATCAGTGAGCAAGGAGGACCCATGACAGCAGCCTGAGGACGTGGCCCAGCCTCCCAAGCCACTGGAGCAGCACATGGTTCTTAGTCCTGCTGGGACCCAACCTTGGTGCCCCAAACTATAGCATGGAGTTCAGCTGAAAGGAAGAAAAAACATGAAGGTCTTTTCTGATCCTCTCCCCCTGCCTTTCCTGAAAGGAGATCAGAGGATGGATCTTCATCCCAGGAGACCCTACCCCGACCACAGGATGGGAGGAAGAAGGAGGGGGAATGGTCACCGGTCTCCCCCCTTTCTTACCCATACCACGGCCCACTAGTCATCCTTTCCTATGGCTGTCCCCAAAACAGTTCTGGGGCTTGGGGTTCCTGTTCATGAAGGGTCCCTGGCCTTATAGCAGGTATATTCCTAAATACCTCCGTCATGCCTTATGCCAGGTGTCAGCTGGGAATCTTGCAGTGGGTTAAGAGAAGACATTTAGTAGCTCAAGAACATCCTTTTTTGAGACAGGGCCTCACTATGTTGGCCTAGGCTGGTCCTGAATTCCTGGTGAAAGCCATCACCTGCCTCACTCTCCCAAGTATCTGGGAGATATCATCTATCTATCACTTCACCTGGCAAACACACTTAAAAATATGTCAAATGAAGCCAGGTGCCAGTGGTTCATGCCTGTAATCCTAGCTACTCAGGAAGCTGAGATCTGAGGATTGCAGTTCAAAGCCAGTCCAGTCAGGAAAGTCCGTGAGACTCATCTCCAATAAACCACTCAGAAAACTGGAAGTGGTGCTGTGGCTCAAGTGGTAGAGCACTAGCTTTGAGCTGAAGAGCTGAGGGACAGCACCCAGGCCCAGAGTTCAAGCCCCACAACCAACCCCCGCCCCCCAAAAATATATCAAATGAGGTTTGGGAAGGTGGCTCAATGGTAGAGTGCTTGCTTGGCATGCATGAAGCCCTAGGTTCGATTCCTCAATACCATATCAACAGAAAAAGCTGGAAGTGGTACTGTGGCTCAAGAGCTAGAGTGCTATCCTTAAGCAAAAAGAAGCTCAGGGACAATGCCCAGGCTTTCTTCAAGCCCCAGGACTGGCAAAATAAATATATATATATATATATATATACATATATATATGTATATATATATATATATCTCAAATGAGTTTACTGCCCTTCTTCCCCCTCTTCCCCTTTCTCATTCTCATTCTCTTCTCTTGTTCTCTCTCTCTCTCTCTCTCTCTCTCTCTCTCTCTCTCTTCTCTCTTCTCTCTCTCTCTCTGGGTCTGTCCTCAGGCTTGAACCCATGTCTGGGTGCTGTCTCTGAGCTGTTTTTGTTTTAGGTCACGGGGCTTGAACTCAAAGCCTGGGTGCTATCCCTGAGCTCTTTGTGCTCAATGCTAGTGCTCCACCACTTTTGAGCCACAATGCCACTTTCAGTTTTCTGGTGGTTAATTGTAAATAGAAGTCTCATGGATTTTCCTGCTCAGGTTGGCTTTGGACCATGATCCTCAGATCTCAGCCTCCTGAGTAGCTAGGATTACAGGTGTGAGCCACCGGTGCCTGGCTTCCTGAGCATCTTTTGATCAAAGTCAGCAATCTACCACCTCAGGCACAGCTCCACATCTGGCTTTTCTTCTTCTTAATTTACTTTATTGTTATTATAGAGGTGATGTACAGAGATTACAATTACATATTGAGTACATTTCCTTTTGTACATTGTCTTCCGTTCCCTCATTCTCTCCCAGTCCCTCCCTCCTGTCTCCACCCATGAGTTGTAGAGTTCACTATCACCAGTGTGTAGAGCTTTACTGCTGTACTTTCTCACCCTTTGTTCTTCAAGTTCTGTACCCTCCCCGCAACCCTTCCAAAGATGCACACTTGAACACCATACATGAGATAAAGAGGAATCATCAGAAACTAAAAACTAAATAAAAAGAGGTCTCTTGTTTCCATACTTGGAGTTTGTTTCAATATGTATATTATTTTATATCAATATGAAGAGGCGCTTAAGCATTATGCCTCTGTTTCTTATGCGTAACCTCTTTTGGTCTCACTGTGTGTGAATATCTAGAATCCTATATACTTATCATATCCCATATCTAGCTTTTGCATATAAGAGAAAACATGCGTCATTTGTCTCTGAACTTGGCTTACCTCACTTAACATGATTTGTTCTAGTTGCATCCATTTCCTACAAATGATATTATTTTATTCTTTCTAATGGCTATGCAAAATTCCATTGTGTAAACATACCACATTTTTTTGATCTCCTCATCTATTGTGGGGCATCTGGGCTGTTTCCATATCTTGGCTATTGTGAATAATGTAGCAATGAACATGGAGGTTCAGGTGTCTTTGTTATATCCTGGCTCATGATGCTCAGGGTAGATGCCCAGGAGTGGTACACTGGGTCGTGGGGAAGGGCTGGGTTGGGTTTTTTGAGGAACCTCCATACTGTTGTCCAGAGTGGCTGTGTTAGTTTACATTCCCACCAGCAGTGCAGTAGGGTTCCTTTTCCCCCACATCCCCGCCAGCATTTGTTGTTTGAATTCACAATGTTGACCAATCTAACTGGGGTGAGATGGAATCTCACAGTTGTTTTGATTTGCATTTCCTTTGTAGCCAGTGATGAGAGCATTTCCTCAGGTGTTTCTTGCCAGGCTCTCCTCTTCTTAGAAGTCTTTCCTTAGCTCCCTTGCCCATTTAGTGATTGGTTTATTAGGTTTGAAAGGGGTTGGTTTGTTGAGCTCTTGTATATATTGGCCTTTGTCTGATATATTACTGATAAAGATCTTCTCCTGGCTTGTTGACTGTCTTTCCAGTTTAATAATTATATCCTTAGCTGTGTAGGAATTTTGTTATTTTGATGTAGTCCCAACTTGTCAAGACTCTCTCCTGTCTGCTGTGCCTCTGGGACTCTTTTCAAGAAGTTTCTACCTGTACCTATAAGTTCTAATGTCTCTCCTACTCTCTCTTGCAGTAGTTTCAAAGTTTCAGGTCTGACTTTGAGGTCTTTGATCCATTTTGAATTGGTATTAGTGCTTGGTTGACAACAGCAATCCAATTTTAGTCTCCTGCATATGGATGCCCAGTTTTCCCAACACCAACTATTGAAGAAGCTATTTTTTCCCAATGTATGTCTTTGTCTCCCTTATCAGAAATCAGATAACTATAAGTGTACAGTTTTATTTCTGGATTTTCTAATCTGTTCCATTGATCTTCAGGTCTATTTCTGTGCAAGGCCAAGCTGTTTTTGTTATTATCGCTCTGTAGTAGAGCTTGAGGTCTGCTATTGTGATACCACCCACATTGGTTTTTTGTTTTTCTTGTTCTTGTTTTTTTGCCTAGTATTGCTTTGGCTATTCCAGGTCTTTTGTTGTTCCATATGAATTTTTGGATTGTTTTATCTCTCTCCATAAAGAACATTACCGGGATTTTGATGGGGATTGCATTAGATTTGTATATCATTTTTGGCAGTATGGCCATTTTCAAAAACACATCTGGCTTTTTTGTAGTTAGTTGGAGCTAAGAGTCTCACAGACTTTTCTGCCTAGGCTGGCTTTAAACCACAATCTCTAGATCTCAGCCTCCTTTGTAGCTAGGGTGACAGGTGTAAGCCACTGGCACCCAGCAACTGCTTTATTTCTAAAAGGCTGGAATTATTTACCCTTTACTATTTTCTTTCTTATTCAAATTTTCTGCTGGCAGAGTTATTTTTCATTTTCCAATAAAAGGTTCCTCATGAGTGAGACGCTGCCAGCCAGAGCAGCTTTGTCATGATTGATGAGGACAGGCTGAAAATCCAGAACCAGTGCCACTGGCCAGGAGAAAAGCCCGTTCCAGCAACAACCAGAGAAGGAAAAACCCATGGCCCAGGTTGTCTTGAGGTTTCTGATGGGCTGTGTGGTGCATTAGTAACCGCCCTCCAAGGGTTATTGCTAGCCCCACCTTCCTCCCTCAGGAGAGGCTGACACCCCCCACCCTCCAACCCCACCCCAACCTTGGACACAGTCTTGTGAGTTGAGGTAGCTGCGCTGAGGGGGCAGTTCTGCTGTGTCCTTTCATTTCCCACCTCACCAGCTGTTGGCATACAGGACACTCACATATTATTGCAGGAAGCCACGGGAGACACCGCCTCATCTCAGAAAAGTGAAGTGCAGGCACTCTGTGATCTGTCCGGGTTCAGAAAGGGTGCCATCACTGGCAATGTGGTAGGATATGTCTCTCTTGTACAGAGAGGACCGCGGAGTTGATGAAGTCAAGCCCACCTGGGGGGGGGTGCAGAGGGTGGAAGACAGGACTCCCCCTCTGCTCACTCCAAGATCTCTTCTTCAGTCTGTGTTCCATAATCTTCCTACTACAGCAGCTGAGAAACACTGGGGTGTCTGTTGCCTGCAAGGTCATTTTTTCCTTTCTGTCCGTCTGTTGTTTGTTCATTCATTCTCTCTCAGCACAGCAGAACAGGGTAACTTATGACAGGTGATGGGGTGACAGATGACTGGGTGATGAGTGAGGGGTGACAGGTATGGTAAATTGTCAACAGTGACTGGGTGACAGGTGACTGGGTGATAAGTGATGGGTGATTCAGTGATGGGTGACAGTGACCGGTGATGGTTGATTGGTTAATGGTGACTAGTGATGGTGACAGGGTGACAAGTGACAGGTGACAGGTAATGGTGACTGAGTAATAGTGACTGGATGTGAGAGATTGAATAACAGTGATGGGTGATGGGTGACAGTGACTTGGTGATGGTGACTTGGTGACAAGTGACAGGTGACTGGGTGATGGGTGTGTGGTAATGGTGACAAGGTGATGGTGACTCAGTGATGGGTGATTGGGTAACAGTGACTGGGTGATGGTGGCTGGGTGACAGATGATGGGTGAGTGCAGGTAACTGGGTGCCAGGCGCCCTCTCCT